GATACTGCCCCTAACAAAGGAAACCTCAGCCAAGAACTCAAAATACAGACCGTTCATAAAGTGTCAGAGAGGAGAACACTTTGGATCATTGTTACACCACAGTTAGCAGTGCCTATCACGCCTTCACACGCGTTCCACTGGGACACTCTGATCATGTCATGGTGCTACTGATTCCTGCTTACAGACAGAAATTAAAACTCTGTAAACCTGTAGTGAGGACATCAAAGAAATGGACCAGTGAAGCTGTAGAGGATCTTCAGGCGTGTTTGACTGCACTGACTGGGATGTTTTCAGGACTGCTACCAACAATCTGGATGAGTATACAGAGGCTGTGACGTCCTATATCAGCTTCTGTGAGGACAGCTGCATTCCAACGCGCACCAGGGTGAATTATAACAATGACAAACCCTGGTTCACAGCTAAACTCGGAAAGCTGATGTTGGAAAAGGAAAAGGCATTTAGGAGTGGCGACCGGGCCAGGTTTAAGGAGTCAAAGTACAGGTTTAGCAAGGCGGTGCAAGATGCTAAACAGCTGTACGCAGAGAGACTACAACACCAGTTCTCTAAAAATGACTCTGCTTCTGTCTGGAGAGGCTTCAGACAGATCACCAGCTACAAACCTAAATTCCCCCACTCCATGAATGACTCACGCCTTGCCAACGAGTTGAACGAGTTTTACTGTTGCTTTGAAAGACAATGGGACAGACATGACACCATCCCCTGTCACACCACTGATCGACCACAGTCCACCATCTCATCCCCCACCTCCTCCCCCTCTCTTACCATCCTGGAGAGGGACGTCAACAGACTGTTCAGGAGGTAGAAACCGCGCAAGGCAGCTGGGCCAGACTCTGTCTCCCCCTCCACTCTGAAGTACTGTGCTGATCAGCTGTCTCCGGTGTTCACAGACATTTTTAACACCTCACAGACATGCCATGTGCCAGCCTGCTTCAAAGCCTTCACCATCATCCCTGTCCCCAAAAAACCAAGGACCACAGGACTAAATGACTACAGACCTGTCGCCCTGACCGCTGTGGTAATGAAGTCTTTTGAGCGCCTTGTGTTGTCCCACCTTAAATCCATCACAAACCCTCTCCTGGATACCCCTGCAGTTTGCCTACAGAGTCAACAGGTCTGTAGATGATGCAGTTAACATGGCCCTTCACTTCATCCTCAGGCACCTGGACTCCTACGCCAGGATCCTGTTTGTGGATTTTAGCTCTGCTTTCAATACCATCATCCCGGCCCTGCTACATTACAAGCTCTCCCAGCTGAACGTGCCTGACTCCACCTGCAGGTGGATCACAGACTTCCTGACAGACAGGAAGCAGCACATGAAGATGGTAAAACATGTCTCTGACTCCAGGACCATCAGCACTGGTTCTCCTCAGGGCTGCGTTCTTCCCCCCCCCCTTCTCTTCTCCCTGTATACAAACAGCTGCACCTCCAGTCACCAGTCTGTCAAGCTCCTGAAGTTTGTGGACACTTCATTTCAAATCATGCACGAACCTGGCACATATTTGTTGTTAATCGTTGTTGTTATTTTTATATTGTCAGTTTATATGTTTATGTTCACAATATCCTCTTCCGTTGCAATACCTTTGCATGACACAAACCAGAGTAATGCACATGTAAATATCTGCCATGTTGTTCTTTCGCTGCAAATAGTCGTAGTATTTTTCTCTATTCTTCTATTATTCTTAAATAACTTGCATTTGTTTATTCCATATTTATATATTTCTACATCTATTTATGTCATCTGTATGTTTGTCTGCATGTAGCACCTTATCACCAAAGCAAATTCCTTGTATGTGTAAAACACTACTTCAAATAAAGCTCATCCTGATTCTAGCATTCCATGTAGTGCATTGCAGTCAGAAATGAACAACCAGAAATGTTCTTAATACGAAGATTGCAAACTGTCCCTTAAACGGCGAGAGTGTCTGTATGCGTTAAGTTAAGGGTTACTGTATCTTTGTGCATGTGTATCTTTACTGACAGGTTTTTCTCCAGGTAGATTCAGATTCCTTCACACAGGTTCAGCAGGGGACACTTACGGTTTTATGTTTTTCTCAACAGGGAAGCTGAAGATCCATCCTCAGGGGAGATGATTCATGCCGTCAATGTAGCGAAACATGAGCTGTGAGAGCTACTTACAGAAGGTGTAACCAAACACTTAACTTACAGACAGACAGCCGTCTCTCTTTAGTTTATTACAGCCCAGTATTGAACTGCTTGTGTTGTCATTACATGTCAACTATTGATCTTTGTGGGCATTTTGACATTTTTGCAGCACCTTGAAGGATTGTTTTTCTGCCCTTGGCTCCAGCTGATGGACATTTGTTAGGGGGGAATGGGTAGAGGGTCGAGGAGGTGGCTTTGCCCCGTCTTCGCTCCTAAGCAGCCAAATAAAGATTACAGTGATAAGTCCAGAGGCAGGTTTAAGCTGCCACTGTGTGAAGGAGACTGTCATCTGACTTGTAATGACATAGCCCGGGAAACATTACATCTTTGATGGGAGACTTATGCAGAAATCCATTTCAGAGTTTCTAAGGTGAGGCAAGCTCAGAGGAGGAGGTTTGGGAAGAGCAATCTGTTGTGAGTCCGTTGTAATAAAATGTACGCTGCACATTTACTGGTGGAAGCGGGTGACCATGGTTTGTAATTTCAACAACACTCCATGTGAAAATTTCATTAATGAGATTTTTTTTTCTAGATTAGTGTTTTGTCTAAACATTTCTTGTCTTTATTGTCACTTTTGCCATGCTACTATCAGACATCTGCAGAGGAAATGTGTGTTGACAACACAGGTAGGGGGTGCAACAGTAAAGTACTGGGTAGAAAATGGCTGCACTGCTGTGAAAGTGGGACCACAGCATTGGCTTTAACAGTCTTGATCATATACACCCTTTTTCTCTCACTTATATTTTCTAACATTCTTCTCTGTATGCTGTTTATCCAATGACAACAAAATAATTAGTCAATTAATCGATAGACAGAAGGAATGAAAGAATTGGCAACTATTTGGGTAATTGATTAAGATACCAACCATGTTTCTACCTTCTCAAAGGTGAGAATTTTCTGTTGTACATCATTTTAAATTGAATATCTTTGGGTTTGAGACATCACCACCTTGGGCTCTGGGAAATTGCAGTAGTTTTATATACCAAATTATTAAACAATGAATTGAGAAAAGCAAAGGCATAATGCATTTAAACATTCAACATTATTCATTTTGTAAGTTAAAGCTTGTTCAAAATATGCTGCCTTTAAGAAGACATTCACAAGACTTATAATAAGCATATAATCCTAAATTTTAGGTTAACACAAGTAAAACATCAAAATTCTGGTTTCCACCTGAGAATTAGGCTACATGATAAATGGGTATTAATGAAGATGTAATTTGAAATTAGAGAAATTAAACCTGGGATACATCCAGCAGGCTGAGGCTGTGTGAGAGAGGAGTATCTGAGGCTGCATCCTAGTGGTGGACAATCCACTCTGACTGATTTAAGACCCATGGTCCTAGATACCACAGAGCTGGATGTAAACTCCATCTGTTCCTTTAAGAGGCTGGAAACAATCCTGCCATAAGCAATATCTGTAGAAAAACAATTTACTGCACCAGAGGTAAATTACCTCAACCATGATGATGTATTTGTACTGCAATGCTGTTCTTGAATGTAGCCCATCTTCTGGGACACCCAACATTCACACAGCTACAGTGAAAAACACCTTCATAAATTATCCTAACTAAGACTTTGCATGTTTTAATGTTACATATATTTTCTGAAAAAGACAGCTACAACATCACAGGGTGCAATACTAGGAGAAAGGTACACAGTATTGCAATGACAAGTTCATTTTACATTTGCCTGATGTATTTATTGTGTAGTATTATGTAATTATTGCAGTATTTGTTATTAATTAAAGAGGCAAGTTTGAGTCAGGTTTGAGTTACGCTGACAACTGTGTATATGTTAAAACATTGGCTTTAGTTTAAAATATTAAACAGTAGCCATATAAGCAACTGTTCTGTAAATTTTAACATGCTATTCCGCTTAACTAAAATTGTCAGCTCAGTTTTTGAGATCATCATAGAGGCTAAATCAGGTTTATTTTCTCTTACAAAAACAATATTTTACAACTTGTATTTACAAATTGGCTTGTTAATTGTGTCTCTGTGTGTAAAAAAGTGTAATTTTCTGTAAAGCACTAGATGTGTGCTACTGGAACTGTATTAAAACTATTTATTCAGCGCTACTGACCTGTGATTGTCATGTAGTCTGCTCCCAGTAATTTGGTTTGCATTATTCAAGATGTAAAGGAAGGGTTATTACAGAGACAAAATAAGAGGCTATGTTTGATAAATACACTTGACATGTCTGCTGGAGTTTCTGAGCACAGCATTCAGTTAGATTATTAGATTAGATTTGTTAGCCTTGTACAACATTCCCAATTTATTATTCCTACAGGGACTTTAGCGGCATGTTTGTTATCTCAACACATTAAACTGGACTTCTTTTATCTGATTACACTCTTTTAAATTTATAATATCATTACAATATTTCAAGTTAGCATACAAAGATATATCTCTGTGACTAAGTTCAGTCCAGTTAATGGGATTATCACTCTTTATCCTATTGTTTCCATGTATTACACCTATGATAATGTACTTCTGTTGTTGGACTCAACAGTGAGTTTTTTGTATTTTTCTCAGTGTCAGTGTTGGGACGATTTCATTTGTGTGGTTGTGTATTGTTCTGGTTTAATTGCATTGTATCTTGCCAACTATCCAGGGGCTCTTCAGATAAAAAAAGATTTGTGTGCCAGTTGGCTTTCATGGATAGCAATGCATTAGTCAAACTTGAATCCATTTAGTGCAACATTAATAACACACACATTAGGAATGCCACACCCCATGGCGGCTAAATAGTATTTGGGAGTCCCAATGGGATATCTTCTTATTGTCTGTTTAACACAGAGAAAACACAGCTCTGGGCAATTACTGGCCATTTTACCACCCTGACACTAGGCCTGAGAGCGACAAGAGAAATGACAAATAGTATTCGTCAGACGTCATCAAAAAACGTTGTGTGCGAATGTTCAACCCTTGGTGGACTTTATCAGCAGGAGCCACGAGTCCATTGACAGTGAAAGGCTGGAGCTCAAGCTGCTCCCATCCCAATCTCGTTCCACATGATTATTCTCAATTTCACAGCCGATGGTTTTTACTGAGACAGACGGCAGCAGCCAAATGCCAAAGTACATAGGAGAACGCTCCGAGGTGGGAGAGAAGGTTAGGGAGGGAGGGAAAAAAAGATATGCTGGTCACTCAACTTCATCACCAGCGCTGGAGATAGAAGTAATCTGTGAATCTGACCTATTGCGAGGTGCAGGATGGTGAAGGAGATCTCGGGTCTGATAGTGCAACAACCTGAATTGGTAGAAGTAAAAGAAACAAGGGTTAAGCCACAATTCATAACTCCAATTAAGTTCTTTTTTACAGGTCGATAGTTTAATTTAACTGTGAATCTAAAACATTTGAACTCAAACCATTACAGACAGCCCTGAAGATAACTGTGGTAACCTATCCTCCCACCATAACAGAGATTATGATGCACTGAAGGTTATATCAAGTCAACCGTCACACACACTGCAGTTAAAAATAATCAGAGCAACACGTCCACTGAAAGCTGTCCCCAACGAATGCATTATTTACTTTTGTTTTCTTTTTCCAAACTTCACATAATCTAATTGACTAGCAGATATGCACTATATAAACAAACCAGCAAAGTGATGCATTCAACTAAATGGCTATGCTGATTGGACAAATTATTTTACATGTCTCTTCCTGGGGTTGCTTATTGTTAACAATGCAATTGTTGAGTTATGAGTTCTTCAAAAGTGGTATTTTATGATTGTTATTTTCTGTTTACAGCTTCAAATTAAAATAAATTTATATGCCTTTAAGAATACGTTTTTTTCCATAAAGCACTAGGTGGCCTTGCACCACAATTTCTTGTACCTGCTTAAAAAAAAGCTACGAATTTACTTGATCTCTCAGGCAAGGTTATTATAGTTTTCATTATTTTTTATTTCCTTTTGACTTTTTGTTTTCAGTTTAGTTTTAATTAGTTTTTAAGGTGGGCTTGCTAGTTTAGTTTTTATTTTTTGAAAAGGCTTAGTTTTAGTCTTTGTCGCTGCATGATGCCAAGCTCATTTCAGTTTAGTTTTTTCACAAAACATTAAAATACAAGTACATCATTAGAAAGAGTGCAGATTTGTGAAAAGGGACACCTTTTTTAAAGCTATCTGAAGCTTGTATGTAGGCGCCCAAACACTAAGCAAATATTTGAAGTACTAACACATTGTATAACTAAATACTACAAATAAAGGAAGCACATGCAATCTACAGGATAATTTCTAGCCTACATACAGAAAACCCTAAGAGCTAAACTACCCTAATCCTACTACCCAGTGGTCCCAAGAAATTCATTACGTCTATAGCTCCATCATTCTTGGTTAAATAGGTGAAATACAATAAACAGAGGTGAAATACAATTGATAGACAGCTAAGAAATTGGAAGATAGAGTAGGGCCCTTGGAGGCCCCCCTTGGAGCCACAAACAACAGGTCCCTAGCACCCTGAAGGCAAGTATGACTGAAAAGCAGTTTTATTAAAGTCTTTATTAAAACAATGTTGGTAGGGGTGACGTCACAATGACTACATCCACACATAGGCCCAGCCAGACCAACTGTCCCGCAAAATCAGTTCTTCCGGCTTCATATCCACTCAAAATGTAGGCTTATTAGGTCCTATAAAATAAATAAACAAAAACTAAGGACATTAACTCTTTCATTTTAGTTTTAGTTAGTTTTGCAAACCTACAATACAGTTTTAGTTAGTCATCGTTTTTTTGTAAAGCTTGTTTTCATTTTTATTTCAGTTAACAACGATGTTTTTTCACATGTAGTTTTCGTTATTCGTCTTCCTTAACGATAATAACCTTGCTCTCAGGGAATCTGCAATGTTCTTGTGAAACTAGATTTTGTATTCTCCTATTCTCTGAATTTGCCTTTTTAAGGAGTTGAGATGTGCTCACACAGTCACCTCTCAAAACAATTTCCTATTGCCTTTCAGTACTGTATGTATTTTGCATGCCTGTTTCCATAACATTTTTAATTTAAGGTATATTTAACATAAGCCACAGTGATTTTACCCTGTGAATGAGATATGCTATATAAATAGTCGGCATTGCCTTTCTTTAGGAAGCTTGTTTTGTGAATTTGAGTCTTCATGCTGCTTGGAGTTTGGCAAAGCTGTGAATACACCTAAGAGCCTGACAGAATCACACAAGGTACAAAAAACAACAACTACGAACTCCCCTAGTCTCACACAGGGGGAGGGCTAGTGAAAATTACAGCATCACTCTGGAGAGTGGGCAGTAGGAGGTGCGGGATTTGATGAATCAAGGACCTTTTGTTCACAGCAAAAATGACTGCTTGCATGCAGTTGGAAAGAACATCTCTTCGGCAATGTTTGTCAGGCAGGCGGGCGTCATTTGGAGCCATTTAGGTTTGAAGCTGACGAAGAGGGGGACAGAGGAGAGCAAGGTCATTTAAAGAGGATGCAGAAGAAGATGATGTGGCCAGTGCTGGGCGTTTAAATGGGTCTACTCTGCTTGAATTGAGTAGCAGCTGAGTACGCCATGGCAACACTCACAGTAATGACTGTGTGTGAGACACACATCTATAGGAAGAAACACAGACTGAAGTGAAATATGACAAGCAAGGTTGACGCGTGTTTCCATATATTGAGTGATGTAGGTGAGTATGCATAGGTGTATAGTTGAGACTAAGTCGATAGGTCAATCAATAGAAAATGAGTCATATTTCAATAATCAATTAAGTGTTTAAGTATTTTTTGCAAAATGCAAAATATTTATTGATCTCAGCCTCTGAAAGGTGAATATTTGCTGTTTGTTTTACTCTTGGTGATGGTAAAGTGAATGCCTTTTGGTTTTGGACTGTTGGTCGGAGAAAACACTCAATACAATGGCATTTTTCACTATTTTCTCACATTTTAAAGACCAAACTATCAATATATTGATCCAGAAAATAAATACCATTCTAGGTTCACACCATTTCTTCTTGGGAGGACATTACAATATATTTGTAGCTTTCATCAAAAAGCAATTTACACCGCCCCCACCCCCAACTCCAACAACACTTATGTACCATAAAACGCATTACACTGATCATTTAAATAAGATGGGTGTGAAGAAAAAACATTTTTAAAAAGGTTAGAATGGATACATACACATACATATCATCCAATGGGGCACCATAGATGGCCATGTGTCTTCAGGCCAATTCCATTCCCAAGCTGGCACCGTATTTGGTCCATAAACAAGAGAAGTGCAAGTCGAAACACGTTAAAATCTGACAATAAAGTTGCTCTTTATACAAGTGTTCATGTAGTTTTGACCTCTTCAGACTTTCTGTTCTCCATGCACCTTGGAAGTAAAGCTTGATTTATACTCCTGCATAGGGTCTGCATTTATACTTGTGCGTCGGTGTCTCCGTCACTCTGCAATTACACCACCAAACACTAGTAAGCAGTAGCACTACAGCATCCACTGTGTTGACATTTGTCGGCAGAGCAGGCTAACTTCCGGTTTAGCCCTCTGCTACCGTGAATGGGGGTAAAATTGTATAAATGCGGCTGGTGTAGCCTTTTCAAATATTATTGACCGAATGGATCACATTCTGATAGTGAAACAAGTAATTTCGCTCGGGTTGTGACGGTCAAATATATTGATCCACCGTGTTACAGCCGCTGTTTTGGCCGCTAGTAAAAGTTACTTCAAAGCACCGGCCTCTTCCTGTCGGCTCGGAGGCATTGCGAGGCTACCCAGCCGACCAATCACAGTGCTTAAGGTCCGCGTCGCCTCGACGTGTAGTTCCATTTTTCAGAAGGTGCACGTCAGGCTAAGGCGTAGGTGACATAGGGTAGGGGGCTACGCCGTCGATTTGACGCAGAAGTATAAATTGCACTCCCACAAGGGAGTAGGATCAAAGCGCCAACCCAAACGATTAACACGCTCTACCACCTGAGCTACAGCCCTGTAAGACATTTAAAAAAGAACTGGTAGAGGACTAAGGATATTTGATGGGCTCTTTAAAAAGCAAAGATGACACTGCCTCACAAGGAAAGAAAGAAACACTGAAAACAGAATGGTAGGATATTTGTAAATGGACACTATAGTAAAGGTTGTCTCTTGTTTTCTATCTCTGACCCTACATCTTTTTTCCAACTCCCTCCACAAAGTACCTGAGGTGTCTGATACAGGTAAGCACACACACAGGACTACATGAACACGCCTTGACTGAGACTTTTGTGGGCAGAGCAAAAAGATCCTTGAAGGCTTAAATAATTACTCCATTCATTAACAAAACAACATTTGACATTCATAAACTGGAAGACTTCAGGACATTATCTTATAAAAAAATAAGGCAGAGCTTGTACAACTAACAACGATAAATCTGTAATGTATTTTAACTTAAAGACATTAACCGTTACAGGCAGGGTAACTTAACAACTTAAAAGAGTAAAATTCTCTGGCAGGAAGGTTCCTCAAACATTTACAAGTTGGTTCAAGAACTAAAGCCTTTAACCACATTATTTTTGTTTTAAAGTAGCTACAGCTGTATCGCAACGTGCAATGAAAAAATATTCCGTTGATATCAGAAAAGTGAAAGACACACTTTCGTCTTTACGGGATTAATGACGGATATTAAAGTGATTTCTCGTCCGTGTTGAAACAGTTTTAGCCTAAATAACTGGATTTTCAACACAGACAGACACACATTGTAGAAACATTTAGTCGACAGACATGAGAGGTCCACATGCGTGCGAAAAGACGCACAAACAGAGAAACAGCTTCGACACGTAAAAATGAAAAACGTTTCCCTACCGGTGTAAGACGGTTTCACGGCTCCTCCGTTGCTGCTGTCCATTTCCAGTCGTCACAGCTCGAGCTCAGATGCAGGCTTTCCAGTCCCGCGAGCGAGTCAAGAAAAGATAAACCACGCGGGCAATGTGTGCTCGCTGTTCCACTGCCGCCTGCGCGACCGTACCAAATCCTCCACGCGCGGAGGATGACAGAGAGGGAGACAACAAATGAAATCAATCGTTTGCTAACAACGGCAGCACTGTATGAACCTGTTTGAAAGGTAACATTTAAAAAACTACACTTGCTTTAACCGACATCACTAACTTTGGAAAGCCACACAAAGGACGCCTGGGTGTAGAACTGTAGCCTTCAGGGCTGCAGTTAAGTCACAGCAGTGATGTGAGTAGAAATGTAGAGGATAATGCAGCATTTCCAAGGGTGTTAAAGTTAAATTCAATTTGTTATGCTCTATATACATAAGGAGATCCTGGATGTCCTTAACAAGGCTGCTGGTAGAAGACATAGCAAACATGAGTCATAACAGGCTCCCAGTAGTAGAGCCTGGCAATACCAAAATTCATAGGGCAATTGGTTGTTCAAAAAATCAGATAATGATGGATTTAACCAAGAGGTATTCCTATAATATATATATATACACACACACACACATAATAAACAAACACATTGAGTGCAATTAACCTGTCACTGCTCTCTTATGAACAAACTATTTAATGCAAATGCTCTGTATTTGTATAGCACCTTTCTAGTCTTTGTGACCACTCAAAGTGCTTTTACACTACATTGCATTCACCACTCACACACATTCATAAAACTGACTGTGAAACAGAAACTAACATTCATACACTGGTGGAATTAGGGCAATTTGGGGACACTTCGACATGCAGCCTGGAGGAACCAGGGATTGAACCCCTGACCTTTTGATTAACAGGCAATCCGCTCTATCTCCTGAGCCACAGCCACCCCTTAATGCTGTCACTGTTTCTATACTACCTGAAAACATTCAGTATATTGGGTATTTCTGTACTGCAATTAAAAAAGAAAAGCTAAAAGCTATGAGCTAATATCAGCCAATTTTGTCAGGCCGATTTGGGCTCTACTAAATAGTGTAACAACGGAGCACATCTGCAATTGCACAATAGATAATCTGCTTCTTGTTTACACCGGCTTGTGCATGCCCAGTGTACATGAATGGCCACTTGATGTACATTTTTAGTCGCTTTAATATAGATGGAGATATATTCTGATACGCAGCTAAAACACTGGTGTGGACAGAGTTTTAGTAGTAGTGTGGATGTAGCCCCAGGCTTCCTCCCCATAATTAGTAAACTGGTCTTTATATGTCAAATCTGTGGAGCCCACCTTTAAAATGTGCCTGCTTTTGTTGTCCTATAACTAAAGTCTAAAGAAAAGATTTTAGTGTTGCTCGTTTTGTCCAATGAAAGTAGCCTACATTTTTGCACAACCTTAAATATTAACTTTGGTATTTATCAACATGGACCCTTTTTCCCCATGTTTTTGTGTCTATAACTAATTGGGAGAACATTTTTTGAAATTGGTCCAGTATTGAGCAAGACTGTCGGCCACAGCGAGACAGGGCTGCAACATAATCCTTGTGGGAAATTGAGCCCCGTCAAAGTACGTCCACAAAAGTGCTTGTTTTTGCCACTGACCAGCTCAGATTGTACTTATAAGTGTCTGACACCATTGTGGAAAGGATCCTTACGGAGATAAACAATTTTTTAAAAAGTGAGATCTTTTTTGTTTAACCAGAAACAGTCACTATATCGCTCTCATCAAAGGCACCAAACTCCCTTAACAAAAATAATAACTTTACCTCTTTGGGATACCGCTGCCTCGATAGGTTCGGTTGCGTTATTGTGTGACACTGGTGTTTTAAAAACATCAAAGTCACACAATTACACAAACAAACTAACCAATCAAGGTCAGATCTCCCGTGTTTAGGTAGGTAAAATAAAAAAACTGTTTTTATCAATGGAGTCTGGTGGTTTTGACAAGAGCGCTATAGTGACTGTTTCTGATTCAACAAAAATGATCTAACTCTTGAAAAAAAGCTCTAGATCTGTAGAGATCTTTTTCACAAAGTTATCAGACAATTCGTACTTTGACGGGGCGCAATTGGGCCTACCTGTTTAGAATTACTCTGCAGCCCTGTTTCGATGCTGCAGACTGCAGTACACTTGCTCAATACTGGACCAATTTCAAAAAATGTTGTCCCCCATTAGTCAGGTAAGGAAAATAAGGACCAGATTGACAAATACAGGAGCTATCATTAAAGGTCTCCTACTGGCATTTTTACAGCCTTGAAACAATGCTAATGTGTATCCATAAACAGTTATTTAAACCCTTCTACCACATAATATCCACTTGGAGTGAGAGAAATTATTTAGGGGGTCAAAGGAAAACGTTGTATCACACATGTCAAATCTTCTCCACCTTTAGGTCCTCTTTGTATGCTGGAAGGCCTATCACCAGCCATCATTCCCTACCTAATCCCACCCACTTTAGACCCCATCATTAACATTGTTGGGCTATGTTCAAAAGCAGATTCCTGCAGATGAACTCGGGAGCACATTGACACGGGCATTTGCCAGCATGCACTGCGGCCAACCTGGTGGTGTGCGTTCGGTACAGCTGTCAGCCGGCCAATAATGGATGCACGGTGGAAACATACTTGGAGTTTAAACTATGTCCTTCTCATTCAGGTCCTTTGGCACCCTGCTTGACCCCGCCACAAGGCAGCCACCCTAAAAATAAAAAGTGCACATGTGCTTGTGTGCACATACAAGCAGAGACAAGGGTGTACAATATCACAGCTCATCAAATGATCCTGATCTCTCTGCTTGAGTGCGAGTGTGGACACACAGAAAAAAACGACACATAGCCAGATCAAACAGGATACTCCCACAATAGTAGAATCTGTTGTTAAGGTTGGATGAGGATATAGGGTGTATTCGGTTGTTCCATTTCCATGAAGCTCGAGTCCAGTCAACATGTTCCCAGCATCAAAGTTAATACCAGCGCTTGGCTCCATAATCATATTGAGTGCTTTCATTAAAGGACATTTTTATTCCTCTGGTCCCAGAATTATTGAGAAACCCGGTTGCTTCTCAGGGGAGAGCATGTTTCAGTTTAACCTGGTCACTATGGCAACGTTAAAAAAAAATGTATTCACTTTTTTCTTTTGACTTAAACGTTTGATTGAGATGGCACTTGAAGGGTACGAGTGGTTCATTTAAAAAGATGGAGCGAGAATGTGGAAGAGAAGAATAGCACTATTGTGAAAGCCATGGAGCCGGATAATGACTGCAGCTCACTGCTTGGAAGAGTGTAACTCTCAGCAGTGAAGAGTATTTGAGTGTAATAATCAACTTCTGCCTCAATTTGACATAAACTAGCTCTAGTGATTAGTCCACTGCAGCGCCTGCAATAAGAACAATTTTGATCACATATTATTATTTTTATATAAATGATAGACTCCTATGTCGTCTATAAATTTATGGTGAGACAGAAAAAATGTCAGGAATCTTTGTCAACCATTATTTTAACGTTTTGTTGGAAGGAAAAATATATTTTTGGTAAATTTGTTTATATATATTTGTTTTACTTTCCAATAAAAATACAAATTACACTTGAGCTGTTAACTTGTTCTTTATTTGCTTTCATGGTTTGTTATTCTGTTTCATTACTTAAGAAATTAAAATTAAGCAGTCTAAGGAAGAGGAAAAAAACACAATTACTCGTAGTCTGGCTAAATGATTGACAATAAATGACGAAAGATTCTCAGAAAAGTGACATGATGAAAATGGTACAAGATCACAATGCATTCTGGGTAAGACCCTTGTTCTTGAGGGTCAACGTCATTTAAGTCCACTTGGGTATTCTCAGTAATGGAATGGGGCTCAAGATGGCGCTGATTCCCTGAAGAGGAAGTGCCAAAGGGAGGAGAATAAGAGCTACAGGAATTCACTTCGGGAGTCATTCAGATTATTATTATTTCTTTTGTTTTGGGTTTGTGAGTCACTATTATGCAGGCAGATACAATTCAGAACCCAGGAGAGTCACAGCAGCAACATTTTGGCTATTGTTATTTCTCTTCTATCTTAGAGTTTTGATGGCCTTGTTGGTAGTAAAAGTCATGAACAGCATTCATGGACCAAATGAAAATGATGACAACCTCACAGTGTGAGCCAAGTATAAATGCTTCAATAGATTTTTAAATAATACAAATATACCTTCTTCCTTTGTCCTCTTGATCATGGGAGGGATGTGAGGCTGCAAAAAATCTCCCCCTTATCAGCTGTGCTGTTGTGTTCTGTGGATGTTAAACTTTGTGAAAAAAATGAACAATGCTAACATGGCAAATGAAAAAGTATTATTGAGAGTGATTCCTGAAGTTCTGATAAACCCAGCATGGGCAAATACAATATAATGCAAGAGATGAATATAAAAAAAATCACTATCCTTCCAACGACTGTTGTGCTTACTCTGGTTTCTTCCTCACTAGCATCCTCTCCTGTGGCAACTCATTTAGATGTTTCATTTTAGATAAGAGACCATTATTGTACCACATCACACATACTATCTCTATCAGCAGAAATCTCCAACCACAGAATGCAATCCAGATACCGTGTCCCTGTGCCCTTGGTATTTAATGACATTTCTTTCGGTCCAGGAAGATAGAATGAATCCATCAGAGCGAGGCATTTAGAAATGTCTGACTGTTTTCTGACTGTTTGAACTGGGCCAGTGGTTTCTCAAGCAAAAACACATTTACAGCAATAACACTAATCTGAAAACCCTTGTTGTTATGACAACCACACCATGCTAAAGCTAGGTTTTGGCCATTTTACCCGTTTCATTTGTTGCACAAATAAAAGAAACAAATAATGTGGCGAACACGTAAAAGGTTTATTTTCAGGGCACATTTCCTATATTCTGCAAATCCCCTGCTCTAAACAGTCAATTTCAGTCAGGCTCTTGCACCATTATTATTCACAGAGGCCACATATTAAATTAGTTTCTTTTTTGACAGAACACATCTTGATTGACAGCTCAACAAATGAGAAATCATTTACTGTGAACAGAGCGGCCGCCTGCTTTTGGCAGAGATGCTGCCTGTCTCTGAGGCGAGTGTGTGTGTGTTTGTTCAACTGGCTTTAAAAGTGGATTTAATGGTCGGTCTGAGGCATCAAAACGACAATAGCAGGGCTGTCAGCCTAAAAGGCAGT